TGAGGCTGAGGCAGGAGAATTGCTTGAACCCGGGAGACAAAGGTTGCAGTGAGTCGAGATTGTGTCACTGCACTCCAGCCAGACTCTGTCTCAAAAAAGAATAAATAATAATAATAATAATAATAATAATAATAATGGGGACAGTGGAAAGAAAGCTGGATTTGAAAGTCATGCTGAGATTAAGTGAACATGGTTTGGTGACTGGTATTAATACATGAGAGTACTGGAGATGGCTCTCAGGCTCTACTTCTGTAGCAGGGTGAACTGTGGGCAAGAGAGAAACTGGAGGAAGTCTATCTGATTTGTGAAGGATGGAAATGAGTTCAGTTTTGACAGATTGAGTTTTCATTGCCTCCAGGACATTTATATCCAGGTGGAATGAATGTCTAGCAGCCAGTTGGATGCATAGGTCTGGAACTCAGAAGAAATATTATGGATTGTTTTATATATAATCTATGTACTAATTATTTAAATTTATAAAATAAATAACAAATTACGTAAATTGGTTATAAAGTTAAAATTTTTTAAATCACATATTATTAGGGCTCATATTGTGTACATCATGGCCTTCGAGGGCTCCTAGTATCTTCTACTGAAGGTCCTAATTAAATGATCATCTCCAGGTTACAGGATACCTTGAATGAAGACTGACTCATCGATAACCAAAAGGGTTTTGTCTGTATTGATTCTTCAGCTTGCAGCTTCAGATAGATAGATAGACAGATAGATAGATAGATAGATAGATAGGTACTTGTTCTAGCTAAGCTTTCTGTAGTCATTTTCTTTTCTCTCCTCTGAGTTTCCATTTGAAATGTCCTATGAAATTGGGAATCATGTCCCAAATTTCTAAATAAACCTCTCCTTAAGGAAATTTTCTATTGCTCCTATTAGGTATTTATTGCTCTATAACAAATTACAAAACTCAGTAGATTAAAATAACATATTATTTCACAGATTTCATAGGTCAGGGTTCTAGGTCCTCTGCTTCAGGGTCTCTCTCACAATGCTGCCATCAAGGTGTTGGCTATGGAGGAGATCTCATCTGAAAACTCAACTTCCTAGCTGAGACAGTATTTGTTGGCATTTAGTTTCTCATTGGACTGACAGTCTTGGCTCCTCACTAGCTGTTGGCTAGAGACTATCCTCAGATCTTTGCCATATGTACTCTCCTAAATGACAACTTGTTTTATCAAAGACTGCAAGCCTAAAATGCAATAAGGTCTGCTGACAATAGAGAAGTTACAATCTTTTGTAACCTAATCACAGAAAGATAGTCTATCAGCTTTGCCTTATTCTATTGCCTAGAAAAGGTCAGAAGCTCTAGCCCACATTCCAGAGGAGAGGATCACAGAAGGGCCTGGACATCAGAAGGGGTGATCGCTGAGGCCATCTTAGAAGTCTGCCTACCATATAACTAATATTTACCAATCTACAAGATCAAGACAAAAAGAGGCATTGACAAAAAAATCCCAATTTTTCTGTATGGAGTTATGTGATGTTATGCATGTCTAGGACCTTTAACTTGCTGGTTTCTCAGTGAAAGGTAACTAATCATTAAACTTAGTGTGCTGTATGTACATACTCTGGAAGGCCGGGAAATGTATACTGACTGAGAAAATATATGAAATATAAAGTATGTTTCCATCTAAAGTTTCTTGGAAACTCTAGTTGAGGCTTTCAAAAATGTACTTTTTAGCATCATTCTTCCAAAAGTACTTTTTAAAATAATTTTCAAGACTTCACAATATATTTTTTTCTACAAATACATATTTCCCAACATCTGTAAAAGTGTAAATCTTAGAGTATTTTATGTTGAACTTACAAATTTGGTACTGAAGACAAGTATTTCTTGTAGTCTGCCAAATTTCTGTCCCATTGGAAAACACACAGATGATTGTTTAACATTCTGTGCCACTAGACAGGAATTATATTTCACATCTTAATGAGAAAATACTTTCTCTTAACTTGTTGCATTAAAAAATTAATTAGTAATTCAGCCGGGCATGGTGGCTCATGCTTGTAATCCCAGCACTTTGGGAGGCCAAGGCAGGTGGATCACCCGGCCAGGAGTCTTAGACCAGCCTGGCCAATATAGTGAAACCTTGTCTCTACTAAAAATATAAAAAATTACCCAGGTGTGGTGGCACACAACTGTTGTCCCAGTTACTTGAGAGGCTGAGGCAGGAGAATCGCTTGAAGCCTGGAGGTGGAGGTTGCAGTGAGCCAAGATTGTGCCACTGCACTCCAGCCTGGGCAACAGAGCAAGACTCTGTCTCAAAAAAAAAAAAAAAAAAAAAAAAAAAAAAAGTAATTCAAACCATTGTAACTACCAGCAGTCACAAAGAGATGTTCAATACCATGAAATGAAGAGTGGAATCCAAAATAAATTTAAAAAAAAGGAGAAAAAAATCATAATTCCATCACCAAGAAACAACCACTATTAAACATTTTGGTATATATCTATGTGTATATGTATATCCTTTTAGGCATTTAAATATGTTTTATTTAAATGTTATTTAATTTAAATGTGTTAAATAATATTAACACAAATGGGATACTTTGTTTTGTAATGATATATGTAATTGTTCCAAAACAAAGATTTCCAGAGCAACTGATTTTCAGTGAAGCATTGCTAAACAAGTCTCCTAGCAAAGTAATGCTAGCAGCAAGTTAACCAAGTACTACACAGAGCAATGGACCAGCTCTGCATCACTGTAAAAGCTGTTATCCCCAAAGGAATGAACTATAAAACAGATAATTGAGGGACATCTAATTTGTACCTCTCTAGTAGTATTTTAGCCATATTATATTGATCATTATTTTATTTCTTATCCTTCAGTGGCTTTTTATTCTGTTAGGTGCCCCTCATTAAACTCCTTCCCCCAGTGTCTGAACCACTGAATTACTGTGCTTCTCAGGACAAATCTCACCTCTGATGATTCTTTCTTCTTTTTTCTTTTTTTTCTTTTTTTGAGACGGAGTTTTTGCTCTTGTTACCCAGGCTGGAGTGCGATGGCGAGATCTCGGCTCACCGCAACCTCCGCCTCCTGGGTTCAGGCAATTCTCCTGCCTCAGCCTCCTGAGTAGCTGGGATTACAGGCACGCATCACCATGCCCAGCTAATTTTTGTATTTTTAGTAGAGACGGGGTTTCACCATGTTGACCAGGATGGTCTCGATCTCTCGACCTCGTGATCCACCCGCCTCGGCCTCCCAAAGTGCTGGGATTACAGGCTTGAGCCACCGCACCCGGCCTTGATGATTCTTTCTATACCATCTTTACTAGCTTTTCTTCCCTCTTTTATCCAAACTAGTTGGCATAGCTACTAACCCACTATTTATCTTTCCTTATTTTCTCCCTCACTACCACTTATGGCCTCAAGGTTTAAATAGTCAGCTACTTATTGGAGACTATTAAAACCTTTCTCACCTCACACTTACCATATGTAAACCAAACTCATCCACTCCCCGTCAAATTACTCACCATCTCTCCTCTTTCCCCAGTATTGTTCCTTTAACAGAGCTAACATCTGGGAATTATCTTTAACTTCTCCCCTCCCTTTGTCCTACCCGGTATCTATTAAATCATGCTTCAAAATATCTCCTACATTTGTTCATTCCTTTCCACTTTTTTCACCTTCACTCCAACCCAGGCCAAGACTGCTTCCACAACTGCGAAATATCCTGAATGGGGTTAAGTGAAAATATCTTGAATGGGGTTGGGGCTCCTTTGCCCTCATTCCCTCACCTTCCTAGGATACTCTTATTGTAATGGTGAGATAAAATTAAAGAAGTGGGCTTGAAATCAAGAGCCCACTCTGCTACCCCAGGTGTGAACTTGAGCATGTTTCTTCTTCGAGCCCTGGGAATTTCCTTATCTGCAAAACGGCAAGTTGGACTGCCTTTATGGGCTCTAAGCTGCCTTGCAATTCTAACAATCTTCTACTCCAACACTTCTTTGCTCAAAGAATGGCAGCGACAACCTTTTCTCCGCCAGAACCACAGCTGGTACTCAACGTTTTCCAGCTTGCATTGTCCCTTACATCTAGACTGCTCACTTCACCATATCCCTAATGAGCCCCAGGCTTGCCACTATAAATGTCAGTTCCCTGTACTATTGTTCTTCTTATTCTGTAATTACAATACTCATTTTACAAACATTTATAAAGTGACTATTAATGTACAGGGCACTTCGCTATGTCCTTGAAATAGCAAGGTAAACCACATAATCCTTGCCCTCAAAGAATTTACTATCTCATTGGAGATATGGTTAAGTAGCTAACATAATTTGGTATTAAGCGCTATGCTGAAAAAAGTAATACATCTCAGCTGTTTGGCAGCAGAAAGGGCATCACTTAACAAGATGGGATGGGGATGCCCAGGAAGACTTCAGAAAAGATGAACTAATTCCAAACTGAGTCTTTTAATCTTAAAAGGAAAAACAAGACTGAAGGAGGTGAGAAAATGTGTGCTATGTCTACCTCGAAGGGCAGAGAAGGGAGGGGAATTATTATTATTTTTAAGAACAGGGTATACTGAAAAACACGAGTGTAGAGGGCAGGTGGCAAGCAGTGAGGTTGGTCATGATGAATAGCCTTCAGTGTCGCGCTAAGGAATTTGGGGTTTCACCGAGGAAAGAATGGAGTACGAGCTGTATTCTGATTCGGATTCCTTTCCTGATCTGTTAGTGGGAAAAGGTGGTTGCTGGGCACTGAAACGGTCAAAGCCGATGACAGGATAATCCGGTAGGGGGAAATGGTGGTCTGCCAAAAAGTGTTCCGGCTACTAGGTGGTCCGCTAAAACAGTTCTGTGACCGATGCCTCACGGCCTCTTCAAACTAATTCGGAGTCGGCCAAGTGGCCACCGTCGGTGCCCATCAGCGCCTGGCCGCCGCGTCACAAAGAGCAGCACCTCCCCGGGAGGAAGCGGCCTGCGAAGTCGCGAGATTTCTCGTCTCGGACAGAGCGTCTGGTCGCCTAGCAACGGCGCTGCTGTGCGTAGGACCCGGCGCCTGCGGAACCGATCACACGGAGTTACCGACCGGACGGTCCCGCGAACGGTGAGCGGCCCGCGGGGAATAAGCGTGGGGACCGAGGAAACCCTAGAACCATGTTTCTCAAACTTGCCTGCCAGTAAGACTCTCCTGGGACGTTTGTTAAAATGATTCCTGGGCCCTATCTTTAGACGTACAGAATTTTCTGAAAAAAGAGTCCGGAAGTCTGTTTTTAACAAATGGTTAACTGGCAAGATTGGAAAACAACTCCATAGGAGGGAGACCCAGGCGGAGGGGTTGGTCGCGGGGCCGATGGACGTGGAGCTGCGTTTGAAAAGGTTTTGAAAAGCTTGAGGGCTGGAGCCAGTGATTTAGAGCATCTGGAGCCACTGAGCCTGCGGCCTAAGTGGAAATGTAGATACTAACGGAATTCAGAAAACGTTGTCCACTGCTTCTAGCCTGCGGGAATCCCAGTAGAAAAAAAGCAAAGGGTCCATTAAAATGGATTCCACCCATGTCAGAAACCTGTACATGTACCTCCTGAACCGAAAAGTGGGGGTGGGGTGGGGGAGATAAAGACAAAGGAAAAAATTAAATTAAATTAAACTAAAATGGATTCCTAGAGGCTGTAAAGAAGCTCTAAGCTGTTCCCACTGGTAGCCTGGGAGAGAGAGATCCTAGTAAGAAGAGTCTCAAAGTAACACATATCTAGAGAATGGAAAGTAGGGGAAAGCAGTTTCTCAAACTTTAGAACACAGTGAATCTCTTTTAAAAGAAAACCGAGGATGCCTCACAAGTGCTGACATTATTTTTATTATAATGTTCTAAAATATATCCAAATCCGCTCTAGATTCAGTTTAAACTCTTGAAACTTTTAATTTTCTAAAACAATAAAGTTTAAATTAATATTGTTTTTTAACAAGATGAATTATTTTTAAAATAACATAAAATAAAAAGTTAATTCCGGGCCTAGTGTGGTGTCTCACGCCTGTAATCCCAGCACTTTGGGAGGCCAAGGCAGGCGGATCACAAGGTCATGAAGTCGAGACCGGCCTGGCCAATATGATGAAACCCCATCTCTACTAAAAATACAAAAATTAGCTGGGCGTGGTGGTGCGTGCCTGTAGCCTCAGCTACTCAGGAGAATGAGACAGAAGAATCGCTTGAACCCAGGAGGCAGAGGTTGCAGTGAGCTGAGATCGCGCCACTACACTCTAGCCTGGCAAGCAGGTGAGACTCTGTCTCAAAAAATAAAACTCAAAAAACAAAACAAAACAAACAACCAACTACCTTTCAACCTAGCAATCCCATTTCTGGGTATATGCCCAAAGGAATATAAATCGTTCTGCCAAAAAGACATAAGCACTCATATGTTCATCACCACAGTTTTCATAACAGCTAAGACTTGGAATCAACTTAGATACCCCTCAGTGGTGGACTGATAAAGAAAATGTTGTATATACGGCTTTTTTTTTTTTGGTCCCACATCTTAGCGAAGTTGCAGTGTTCGCGGCTGCTCTCAGAGCTTTGAAATGCTGCCCAAGGATGACAAGAAAAAGAAAGACGCTGGAAAGTCGGCCAAGGAAGACAAAGACTCAATGAACAAATCCGGGGTAAGGCCAAGAAGAAGTGGTCCAAAGGAAAGTTCGCGACAAGCTCAATAACTTAGCCTTGTTTGACAACGCTACCTATGACAAACTCTGTAAGGAAGTTACCAACTATAAACTTAAAACCCCAGCTGTGGTTTCTGAGAGACTGAAGATTTGAGGCTCCCTGGCCAGGGCAGCCCTGCAGGAGCTCCTTAGCAAAAGACTTAACAAACTGGTTTCAAAGCACAGAGCTCAAGTAATTTATACCGAAAATACCAAGGGTGGAGATGCTCCAGCTGCTGGTGAAGATGCATGGATAGGTCCAAACTACATTTGGAAAAATAAAACTATTAAATCCAAAAAAATGTTGCATATCTATATATGAAACACTGCACTACCATTTAAAAAAATGAAGTAATGTCCTTTGCAGCAACATGGATGCAGCTGGAGGCCATTATCCTAAGCAAATTAATGCAGGAACAGAAAATCAGATTACTCCATGTTCTCATTTATTAGTGGGAGCTAAACATTCAGTACCCATGAACACAAAGAGGGGACCAACAGATGTTCGGGCCTACTTGAGGGGGGATGGTGGGAGGAGGGAGAAGGTCCTAAAACTACCTATTGGATACTATGCTCACTACCTAGGTGACAAAATCATTTGTAAACCAAACTCCAGCAACATACAACTTACCCATTTAACAAACCTGCACATGTGCCCCTAAATCTAAAATGAAAATTTTAAAAATAAAAAGAAAAATGAATAAATAAAAATAAAGAGGTTGGGTGCAGTGGCTCGTGCCTGTAATCCCAGCACTTTGGGAGGCTAAGTCAGGTGGATCACTTGAGGTCAGGAGTTCAAGACCAGCCTGACCAACATGGTGAAACCCTGCCTCTACTAAAAATACAAAATTAGCTGGACATGTTGGCTCATGCCTATAATTCCAGCTACTTGGGAGGCTGAGGCAGAATTGCTCAAACCTGGGAGGCAGAGGTTGCAGATTGCACCATTGCACTCTAGCCTGGGTAACAAGAGCAAAACTCAAGAAAGAAAAAGAAAAGAAAGGGAGGAAGAGAGAAAAAGAAAGAGGGAGGGAGGGAGAAAGAGAGAAAGTAGAAAGAGGGAGGGAGGGAATGAAGGAAGGAAAGAAGAAAGGAAGGAAGGAAAGGAAGGGAAAAAATTATTGGTCAATCTCCTTATTAAGCTTAGATGAAAACATTCTTGGCAAGGTGGCTCATGTCTATAATCTTGGCACTTCAGGAGGCCTAGGTGGGAGGACTGCTTGAAGCCAGAAGGTTGAGACCAGCCCGGGCAACATAGTAAAACTGTCTCTACAAAAATAAAATAAAAAATAAAAAAATCAGCTGAGTATGGTGATATACATGTGCAGCACTAGCTCCTCAGGAGGCTGAGGTGGGAGAATCACTTGAGCCCAGCAGTTTGATGTTGCAGTGAGCTATAATCACAGCACTGCATTCCACCCTGGGCAAGAGTGAAACCCTATCTATACCAAAAATAAAAAATAAGAAAATGTTGTTCTGACTAAATTTGGTTTATCCTTGGGATGTAGAAAAATTTAACATTAGAAGCCTACCAGCCTGGGCAACATCGTACAACCCTGTATCTACAAAAAATACAAAAGTCAGCCAGCATGGTGGCATAAGCCTAGAGGCCCAGCTACTCAGGAGGCTGAGGTGGGAGGACTGCTTGAGCCCAGGAGGCAGAGGTTGCCATGAGCTGAGTTTGTACCACTGTACTCCAGCCTGGGTGACAGAGTGAGACCTGTCCTGCACACACATGTACAAAAAGAATTATCAATGTATTTCACCATATCTCCTAATGCACAAGAAAAACATTTCATAACCATCAACATTCATTCACGGTTTTTTTAAAAAAGTTTACAAACTATGAATATAAAAGCACTTTCTTAATCTGAGTCTAGCTATCTTAAAAAAAAAAAAAAACAGCAAATATCATACTAAAAAAAAACTTACAACAAAAAAGTTTTAGTGGTGAAATGTTGCAAGTATTTCCTCTGAGATCAGCAATAAGACAAGTATTATGTGCCCTTATGGCTTCTACTCAACATTGTTCCTAGAGGTCCTAGCCAGTGCAATAACTCAATAAAAAAGAAAAAAAATATAAAAGGTTTGGAAAGTAGTAAATTGTCACTCATATATAATCTGATTGTCTACATGGAAAACCCAAAGACTCTATAAAATAGAATTCATGTGTCCTTACCAGTGTTGCTGGATATAAAAATCAGTATTTTTAAAATGCTGCATTTCTATACAGTAGCTACAAATAAGAAATGCAATTTCCAGAAGAATAACATTTGCAAATATCAGCAAAAATATATGATCCCAATAACTAAAAAAAAAAAAAAAAAAAAAAAAAAAAACTTGAGTTGGGCATGGTGGCTAACACCTGTAATCCCAACAGTTTGGGAGGCTGAGGCAAGTGGATTGCTTGAGCCAAGAGTTTGAGACTACCCAGGGCAACTTGGCAAAACCCCATCTCTACTAAAAATATAAAAATGAGCTGGGCATGGTGGCACAGGCTTGTAGTCCCAGCTACTCAGGAGAGATGGGAGGATCACTTGAGTCAGAGAGACAGAGACTACAGTGAGTCAAGATCAGGCCACTGTACTCCAGCCTGGGCAACAGAGTGAGACCCTGTCTCAAAAACAAACAAATGAAAAAACAAAACAAAACAAAAAACTTACGCATGGCCTTAAATATAAAAGAAAAACTTTTAACTACTGAAAATCCTTAAAGCAGCACTGTCAAAATGGAGAGACATACCATACTAATGGGAAAGAAGACTCGATATTAGAGAAATGTCAGTGCTTCATGAATTGTTTATAAATTTGCAATTCGTAACAAAATCATAAAAGAATTTTTCATGGAATGAAAAACTGATATTAAAGTTTATATGAAAGAGTCAAGGACCAAGAATGACCCAAGTAGAGAGAGAGATTATTAATCTGTACTTATTACGACAGTGTTGTCATGGGGATAAATATATAAATGAATGGAAAAGAACCATGGAAGAGAAAATATCCCACTTCCTACACAGTAATCAACTCTAAATAAAGACCAAAATGCATGAAGCAAAACTTTAACATGTTCAGAAGAAAATATAGTCATTTTTTTCTGAAATTAAGGTGGTGAAGGAGTTAGTAAATAAGCCACAAAAAGCACAAAACATGAGAAAAAATAGGAATACATTTGACTATATTAAAAAATAAAGCTTTCATTTTTTAGAAGATATCATTAAAAGCAAATTAAATGAGAAAAGGAGAAAAGACAAGCTACAGTCTGGGAAAAGACATTTGCAACACATATTATCAATGAAATATTAGTATATGATAGAAATGTGTATGGATCTAAAAATTTTAGTATCTAAAAATTTCTTAGAAAAGCAGAACTCAGTAGGGAAAATGGGCAAAATATAAGAAATAGAAATTAACAGAAGAGAAACTCCACATGGCCAATAGTCAGGAAAATACTCTCAGTCTCTCAACAAGTAAAAAATGGCAAATTAAAACACAGTAGTGAGATATAATTTTATACCCATCAGCTTGGCAAAAAGTTTGCCAATATCAGATATTGGCAAATATGAGATATAATTTTATACCCATCAGCTTGGCAAAAAGATTGCCAATATCAGGTGCCAACAACAGTGCAGGCTGCATTGTAGAGCAGTGGGAACTTTTACTTGCCAGTGGTAGAATTCCTTTGGAGAACAATTGGTCAATATATAGTAAAGTTGAAATGTCCAACCCAGAAGTGGCCACTCCTAATTTTAAACCTTAAAGAAGCTTTTCCACATGTGCCAAATGATATATACAAAATCATAAAAGCAACAATGTAAAAGCAAAAGAAAAAAAAGGAAATACCCAAAGATCAATAATTTTAGGGGAAATTTAATTTCTTACAATGGAATACTCTAGAGCTACACACATCAACCCAGATGACTCTCACAAACAAAACATAAAGCAGAAACAAAAGCTGAAGACAGAATAATATCATTAATATCATTGATGACATGTAAAATTGTGAAAAAACCTACTATATATTGTTTAGATACACATACATCTGTAGTAAAAGTATGAAAACATGAATAGTCTAAATTTAAGATAAATCCTAAGCTTAAGAGAATGAAGAGGAACAAAGGTATAAAGGGGTTTCAAATGTATTTGTAACGTTTTATATTTTAAGCTGACCTGTGGGTCCATGGGTGTTATACTATTCTTATACTTTTATTGTGAAATATTATATGAAATTCTTTCAAGGTAAGATTAAGAAGTTATTTTTATTGAATTAGAAACTTTGTTCACAATATAATATTTGAGATGTGATCTGAAAAGTCAACAGTAAGCTTAAAATTTTGTTATAAAAATAATCATGTATGCAAATTTTTAAAATCTATGAAGATTTTATAATTTTTTTCTGCTCAGTTCTGAGGCATAAGATTTTATAACTTTATTCTGTAGGTTGTACTTTGCATTTTGAAGAGTCTAAGAATACTTGCCATATCTTCAAATATTTTATTGTAGGCAATATATAATAACATAAACTGGGCAATGCCAATGTGTGAGTATGCAAATTTTATTTGTAGTCTACTGAATTCATTTTTCCTCCTAAGCACTGATTTCATGTCGAGAATATTGTACACATTGAGGTATTTGGCTGGTTAAATTCCATATACACTGGAATAATACTATTTAATTTTAAACTGTATTTTTGGTTACATTTGTAGTAAACGAACATGAAGCACAATTGGCAAAACTGGGCTATATTTCTTGGGCAATTAAGAAAATGCATTACTTCAAACCTCTAGACAATTTATGGCAATATTTTATTTACTTACTTAGAGACAGTCTCCCTCTGTCACCCAGGCTGGAGTGCAGTAGCGTGATCATAGGTCACTATAACCTAGAACTCCTGGGCTCAAGTGATCATCTTGCCTCAGCCTGCTGAGTAGCTGGAACTACAGGCAGGTACCAGCACCCCTGGCATGTTCCACATATTTAGCAGTCCTCATATATTTCTGGTGAGAGACTTAAGATAACCCAGTTAAGATAACCTTAACTGTGAACAAAACGGTAATAGAATAATAATAATGATAGCAAATGTTTATTGACCTATGTACCAGGTACTGTGCAAAACACTCCATAACAATTATCTCACCAATCCTCACATTATCTCTTAAAAATAGGGACCATTATTATCCTTATTTTGTAAGAAATTGAAGTAACCTTCCCGAGATTGCCTAACCAGTAAGTGATGACGCAAATTTTGAACCAGGCAATCTAGATTGAAAAACCCTGGATTATATAGCCTCTTTGTGGATTATGGTTGTACAAACAAAACATAAAATTTCTAGGCCAGCTTTATTTTCAAGTATTTTGCACCACTGTCCTATGTACTTAACCTATGTACATGTGGTTTTCACACCATATGTTCTGATTTAGGGGTTTCAGACATATGGTCTACCGTACTGTGGAAAAAGGAGCCAAGAGACCTGGTCCCTTTCTTAACTGTCACTAGCTTGAGTAGCTTGATATATATCTCTGGGACTTAGTTTCTTCACCTGTGAAATGAGAGCATTGTAGGATATTCCTGGAGGGCCTTTTTGACTCCAGGAGTGAATAATAATCCTTTAAAAGATGCCCATAGGCCAGGAGTAGTGGTACACCCCTGTAGGTTCCAGCTGAGGCTGAGACAGGAGGAGCACTTGAATCCAGGAGTTCAAAGATTGCAGTGCACTATGATCATGCCTGTGAATAGCCACGGCACGCCAGCCTGGGAACCATAACATGACACCCAGTGATTTAAAAGAAAAAAGAGGCCGGGTGTGGTGGCTGATGCCTGTAGTCCCAGCACTTTGGGAGGCTGAGGCAGGTGGATCACCTGTGGTAAGGAGTTCAAGACCAGCCTGGCCAACATGGCGAAACCCCGTCTCTACTAAAAATATAAAAATTAGCTGGGTGTGGTGGCGGGCATCTGTAATCCCAGCTACTTGGGTGGCTGAGGCAGAAAAATAGCTTGAACCTGGGTTTTGGGGGTTGCATTGGGCTGAGATCAGGCCATTGCAACCCAGCCTGGGCGACAAGCAAAATTCCGTCTCAAAAAAGAAAAAAGAAATAAAAAATATAACTTGCTATGATTCAAATACTACTTAAGAAGAGGAAAATATTTAAAAGTAAAAGTGAATGAATATCATGTATTTAATTAGTTTTGATGTTTTAAATCTTTTTGTGAAGAGTTAAGTCAATAAACTTAGAAAATACCACAGTGGCCCTAAAAATGTCTATAAACTAGCTTACCAAATAGTTTCATATAAGGGAATTATTTAAAATGTAAGAATAACTTTTCCTTAAATTGCTATATCATAATGCTCCTTTTTTCTTTAATCTTTAGAAAGTTGGAAATAATACCTCAACTTACTTCTTGACATAGTGTCAAAACAGAGCTTTTGCTGAGAGTTTGATTTGTAAAGAAATTATGGTTCGACTGACCTTGGATCTAATTGCCAAAAACAGCAACCTTAAACCCCGGAAAGAAGAAACCATTTCACAGTGCCTGAAGAAAATAACTCATATAAATTTTTCAGACAAAAATATAGATGCAATTGTAAGAACTTTGAAATTATTTTCCATTTATATATAATTAATAATGTAAAGTTTTGGAATTGGTTTGGGGGCATACCTAATATATTAACTATACTTTCATTATTCTTATTAACTTTTTTTTTTTTTGAGACAGAATCTCACTCTGTTGCCTAGGCTGGAGTACAGTGCAACCTCCGACTCCCAGGTCAAGTGACTCTTGTGCCTCAGCTTCCCCAGCAGCTGGGATTACAGGCATGTGCCACCATGCCCAGCTAATTTTTGTATGTTTAGTAGAGGTGGGGTTTTACTGTGTTGCCCAGGTTCACCGTGTGAGTTCTTGAGCTCAAACTCCTGAGCTCAAGAAGTGATCCGCCTGCTTGACCTCCCAAAGTGCTAGGATTACAGGTGTGAGCCATCACACTTGGCCTTATTAACTTATTTTTATCAGTAAGCTTTATATTGTGTTTTTATTTTAACTTTCTACTTGTGATATTAAATTTGTTAAAATTAAATTTATAAAATATAACATTGTGATTTTTAAGTGTATATATTAAATATATGTATATGTTCTTCTATAACACTGTACAGTGTCTCAAACTAGATTTGAAACTGTATGTTGGAAAATAACTTCATAGATAATAATTACTTTGGTATTATTGTAAAACCTTGAAATATACATTTTTAAGACATACCAAAATGTTAATAATTAACTATGTGAGTGCCATATTTCAAAGTTTAACAGTGAGAGAAGATTGGGAGGCAGGGTAAGGGATAAAGACTATATACTGGGTACAGTGTATACTGCTCAGTTGAAGGGTACACTAAAATCTCAGAACTCACCACTAAAAAACTTATCCTTGCCAACCATGGTGGCTCATGCCTGTAATACAGCCTAAGCAACAAAGTGAGACTCTGTCTCAGAAAAAAAAAAAAAAAAAACTTATCCATGTAACCAAAAACCATCTGTACCCCCAAAATTATGGAAATAAAAATTAAAATTCACACAAGAAAAAAAAAAGTTTAACAGTGAAATCTTTTTTGCATATAATTTAACTGGTCATGAAAATGTATGTTACACTGGGTCAATTACATCAGACAAGTTTATATTTACCTGGATATAATCTGAAACCACATTTTCTCAGCACTAAGGTAATTCTTGGCTATAATCTGGGAAACTTTAAAGGCTGCAATAACTCTTAAGCCATTTGTGTTGGTATCTGTTCTTTACAATAAATGCTATAGTACAGGTGAGAGAAATTTTCTTGGAAACACAGGAGCTACCTGAGGGCAGAAATAATGTCTATTTTTTCACATCACTCTAAATCCCTCATCCATTACAATGCCTGACACATATTATGTGCTTAATAAATGTTTACTGAACAAATGAAAGAAATACTGAAACCCCAGGCAAAATGATCAATTAAATGCTTGATTTTTTTGTAGGGACCCAACCCAGCTCCCATTCTAGATACCTTTCTGATTTCCTGTTGCTCCTTCTTCCCATGAATTCCTTTGCCCAAACCTTGTATTTCTCTTTTGTTGCCCAGAATGCTTTACCTCATCATATCATATTAGACTACTTTCTCTGGAGACCACCCAGTAAAGTCCCCATTCCATACTCTATCAATGCTCACATCTATCAATGCTCCTTCAGGGTGGATGATCTTTGTTAGGAGGAAGGCAAATTGGTTAAAGTAATTCACTCTAAAGTGAGAATAACTTCTAAACGTACAGTTTCCAACACATAGCTGTATTTTAAAAGATGTTAACTTAATGAAGGCTGAGAAATTTTTGAGCAGAACTTCACTTTATCGCTTGTCTATTTACTACTCTAGGCTGATTCTGTCATGACACAAAAAAATGACAGCCTTTTAAAAAATCCCTTTAATTATTGTCTTATCTCAAAAGTAACTGGTAGCTGGGCATGGTGGATCATGCCTGTAATCCCAGCTATTCAAGAGGCTGGGGCACTAGGATCACTTGAGCCCAGGAGTTCAAGACCAGCCTGGGTGAGACCCTGTTTCGAAAAAAAAAAAAAAAAAAAAAAAGTAATTGGTGTTCTTAGTCGTATAAAATACATATAAAAAGAAAGAATGTAATCCTATTCAGACACAACCACTTTTAACATTTAGGTAATATCCTTTCAGTTTTTATTCATATAATTTTACAATAGTGGGTCATACTGAATGTACTATTTTCACTTAATTATATATTATAAATTTCACTTATGTATTAGATATTACTGAAGAAACAAAAGGTATTTAATGGTTCTACAATATTCCTTTAGATATCATTATCACAGTTTTTAAAAAATTAACCTGTGATTCTTGAATATCTAGATGACTTCCAATTTTCAATATTATAAACCATAGTGTTGACTTCCAATCCTAAATAAATAGTAAACCCTATTTATAATGTTGAGACAGTAATTTGCTTCAACTTCCAGAGGAGCCTGATTGCTTTCAGGGAAAATTGCTTGCACTGGGAAAATCTTAACAATCACAATTTTATTGATATAATTACAGAATTTCTTAAAAAAAAAAGAAAAGAAAAAAATTACAGAATTTATTTTGTAATCAGTCTAGTCTAGAATTTCTTTTGTAATCATTCTAGTCTTGTTTTAACTGTGCTAAGAACAGAGAAATACTGTTCTTTTATATTAACTTTAGGGAAATTTGCCGAATGATCAACTGAAAATTTTTCTTAAAAACTAACTTTTAAGTTTTCAGGAGAAATTACATTTGACATGTTTTTGTTTCCCTTTTAGGAAGACCTCTCTCTTTGCAAAAATCTTAGTGTTTTATATTTATATGACAACTGTATTAGTCAAATCACTAACCTGAATTATGCCACAAATCTGACCCACTTATACCTACAAAACAATTGTATTTCATGTATAGAGAATCTCAGGTCATTAAAGAAACTGGAAAAACTGTAAGTGCTTTTCTTTTTTAATAATGTATCTGTTTTTCATGATTATAGTACTTAAATTTTTTGCACGCAGGCATTTCCATTTTTTGCATTAAATTCCAAAAGTAAATTGAATATGAAATCAATATGATTTCATACTCATATGAAAAAACCCATACGATTCCCACATGGGTTTTGTGGAACAGACCTCAGTTTTTATTCTCTTGTACTATTATTAACAAGAAGTAAATTGTTTCACACATATAATGCTTAATAATTTGTGTTTTATTAAGCCTGATATACTTTTCATTCAAGGGAGTGGCTGTCTTAGGGCTAATAGGGATATCTAAAACATCTCCATGTAGGCTCAACTGATGAAAGAAATTTCCATGGAACCCAGATGAGTTATGTGCCTTTCAGAATCACACATCTGATACCATCTGGTCATATAATTGATCCTATTGATATAAACTTGATTGTAAAAAGGCATTGAATATCTAGATGGCTTCCAATTATATAATGCAATGTAACTGGTAGCTGGGCATGGTGGATCATGCCTATAATGATTATAATTAGGCAATGAAGATTGGTGGATCCAATCTCCCCAGATTGGAATAACTACCATGCTCCTCAAAGAATGGGCTAAAGGCCTCAGAATGGGGACACAAGAGTTGGCTGGTGAATGCTTATTAAAAATGCAGAGCACTGGGTTCCAACCTACATATCCAAATTAGACTCTCCAGGGGTTAGGCCCAGATATCTTCATTTTTATTTTTTATTTTTTATTTATTTATTTATTTATTTTTTTGAGACGGAGTTTCGCCCTTGTTACCCAGGCTGGAGTGCAATGGCGCGATCTCGGCTCACCGCAACCTCCGCCTCCTGGGGTCAGGCAATTCTCCTGCCTCAGCCTCCTGAGTAGCTGGGATTACAGGCACGCACCACCATGCCCAGCTAATTTTTTGTATTTTTGGTAGAGACGGGGTTTCACCATGTTGACCAGGATGGTCTCGATCTCTCGACCTCGTGATCCACCCGCCTCGGCCTCCCAAAGTGCTGGGATTACAGGCTTGAGCCACCGCGCCCGGCCTTCATTTTTATTTTTATCTCTTGGTTTGAAACAGAGTCTCTCTCTGTCACCCAGGCTGGAGTGCAGTGGTACGATCATGACTCACCACAGCTTTGATGTCCCAGGTCCAAGTGATCTTCCCACAAGCATGCACCAGCATGACTGGCTGGCTGGCTGGCTTTCTTTCCTTCCTTCCTTCCTTCCTTTCTTCTTTTTCTTTCTTTTTTTCGAGATGGGATCTCTCTATGTTGTCAGACTGATCTTGAACTCCTGAGCTCCCAAAATGCTGGGATTACAGGTGTGAGCCACTGTGCCTAGCCATGAAATCTTCATTTTTTAAACCTACAACCCAGAAATGGTTATTATCAAACTATCTACCAGGGCTCTTCATGTTAGGTGATATATAAAGAACCCTGGTAGATAGTTTAATAACTATTACAATTTGTTCACTTCTTTAAAATGAAAAAAAAATGCATTTTTAGAATAAATTAAGTGTAAGAATAAAATTTGTTTTCATTTAAGTAACCAACCTTTCATAGATTCAATATAAACATAATAGTCTACATTTATAATTTTGTTCAGCTCAGTGGTTTTGTTATTACACTTTTGTCATGTTTAATAAAGACCACGACATTCCCAGAATGTCTGTTTAGAACTATGTCTATGTTTTACAGGTATCTGGGAGGCAATTACATTGCTGTCATAGAAGGTTTAGAAGGATTAGGAGAACTAAGAGAGCTTCATGTTGAGAGTCAGAGGCTTCCCCTTGGGGAAAAGCTTCTGTTTGATCCAAGAACTCTTCATTCTCTGGCAGTAAGTTCACATCTGAATATTTTGAAGAGGAATAATAGTGATTAACAAGTTATAATGAAACAGGAATACAGTGAAGGTATATTTGGACATTGTACATACTCTGCATGTTTATATGGCCAGCTCAGAGCTTATCTGAGGACCGAAGCTGATTTTCTCATGTGCAATCTCAGAAACTCAGCATTTATAAAGTGGGATAATAAAATTTGCCTCTTTGGGTAACTGGATGGATGAAAAGAAGAATGTTAAAAGATATGTTAACTGAAGTTCTAAACAGATGTTCATTCATTCGTAATGTGGACCTTGGTGATTATCATGGCTCAACATTTTAAATTTTAGGAAAAAGCCTAAGGGAAGAGGAATGTGCAATTATTTGGAAACTGTTAAACAATCTAGTAGAGAGCCATTGTAATAATAAGTTGTTTCCTCCCAGGATCCTGATTTGATTGTAGGCTGCATTACATACAGCTCTACCTCATCAGAACTGTGTAGGCCCGGGAACCCTGGGGTTGGGGCTCCAACTGTGTTGCCTGTCAACCAGTTACACTGGATGGAGGTGCTACAATTGAGAAACCAGGGGGTACGACTTAGGCTCCTGCTAATCCTCAAAACAAGAGACTTGTTGGGATAGGCTAACTTCAAATCTGGGGCAGGAGACATAAATGGGACATGGTAGTTGTTTTACAGATTTCATCAGTTTTATTTTATTTATTTATTTAGTTTTGAGATGGAGTCTTGCTCTGTCGCCCAGGCTGGAGTGCAATGGCATAATCTTGGCTCACTGCAACCTCTGCTTCCCGGATTCAAGCAATTCTCCTGCCTCAGCCTCCCAAGTAGCTGAGACTACAGGCACATGCCACCACGCCTGGCTAATTTTTGTATTTTTAGTAGAGATGGGGTTTCAGCATGTTGGCCAGGTGAGTCTCAAACTCCTGACCTCAAGTGATCTGCCACCTCGGCCACCCAAAGTTCTGGGATTACAGACATCAGCCACCATGCCCAGACTCATCAGTTTTATTTTAGAGGGCCCAGAAATAGAGGATAGGGGATGGATTTTGACCCAAATTTATAAAAATTAAGAGGTAGTCCCCAATACTTTAGTATCAGGAAATATTTTTTCTAAACGTTGGCTGTGCATGACGGATGCCTCCATCTTTTTTTTTTTAACTTAAACTGATAAAAACAGATACTACACTTGATCTCAGCCAAAAGGCCATGAAGCAATGGTTGACTCCATCTTGGTAGATACTCCTAAGCCTCATAAGATGACTTTGATTCAGTGTTATAGCAACACTGAAATTACTATTAGCTAATTATTATTTTAACTAGTTTCTGAACATATGGATTGTCAAGAGAAAACCATAAAGACAGGTAGAGAGAAAAATAAAAACCAGATATTATTTTGTTCCTGGTATGTTTCCTATTTCACAAAACAAAGACAAAAACTGTTTCTTCCTATGTAAGTACAAATCTTTTTAGAGACAGAGTTTTGCTCTGTCACCCAGGGATGCTCTCTGCTCACTGCAATCTCCACCTCTGAGATTCAAGTGATTCTCCTGCCTCAGCCTCCCAAGTAGCTGGGACTATAGGTGCATAGCAGCATGCCTGGCTAATATTTTTTATTTTTAGTAGAGACAGGTTTTGCCACGTTGGCCAGGCTGGTCTCGAACTCCTGACCTCAAGTGATCCATCCGCCTCACCTCCTAAAGTGTTGAGATTACAGGCGTGAGCCACCACACCCAGCCCCTATGTAAGTACAAATCTTAGTATTTAGCACAAAATGATAATTTGCTAAAGCTACAGTAAGCATTTTTTCTATATTGTATTATTCATTTGTTGGTGCATCTTTTTCTTTCTTTGCTTTTTGATTCTTGGCTTCTTTATTCTATACATTTATTTTTATCTTGGAAAAGGAAAATATGACTTATGGAGGAATTATAGGGAGAAAGAGTAAGTTATATGACATATTATGATTCTAAAACTTCCACCTGAAAAATAAAATGCAACAAAAAGAATTTCATAGCTTTTGATGTTCTTGCCTAAAGAACAAAACAACCTAAACTGATCAAGCTTAAACTTTTCTAGGATTAGTATTTCTGGTTCCTACATATGGTATTTAGACTATTTACTAACTTGATTATTTTTCTTACAGAAATCCCTCTCTATATTGAATATCAGCAATAATAATATTGATGACATTAAAGACTTAGAAATACTGGAGAATCTTAATCAGCTCATAGCTGTTGACAACCAACTTCTGCATGTGAAGGTAGTATAAAGAAAAATTAATTTTAAGATAATTACATGAAATTGTGATTGAAAATATATGTTTTGAAATAGCTACAAAATAAATATATCACATTAAAAGCTACTCTGGATTTGTTCTAAAATTAGCTAATGAATACTTCTTAATGTATTTATTTGCATAATTCTGTCCTCTTTTTTTTTTTTTTTAATTGCATTTTAGGTTTTGGGGTACATGTGATGAACATGCAAGATTGTTGCATAGGTACACACATGGCAGTGTGCTTTGCTGCCTTCCGTCCCCTCACCTGTATCTGTCATTTCTCCCCATGCTGTCTCTTCCCACCTCCCCACCCCCCGCCCCTCCCCCATTTCCCCCCAACAGACCCCAGTGTGTAGTGCTCCCCTCCCTGTGTCCATGTGTTCTCATTGTTCAACACCCGCCTATGAGCGAGAATATACGGTGTTTGATTTTCTGCTCTTGTGTCAGTTTGCTGAGAATGATGGTTTCCAGGTTCATCCATGTCCCTATAAAGGACGTGAACTCATCGTTTTTGATGGCTGCATAATATTCCATGGTGTATATGTACCACATTTTCCCTATCCAGTCTATCATCGTTGGGCATTTGGGTTGGTTCCAGGTCTTTGCTATTGTAAACAGTGCTGCAATGAACATTCGTGTGCACGTGTCCTTGTAGTAGAATGATTTATAATCCTTTGGATATATACCCAGTAATGGGATTGCTGGGTCAAATGGGATTTCTATTTTTAGGTCCTTGAGGAATCGCCACACTGTCTTCCACAATGGTTGAATTAATTTACATTCCCACCAACAGTGTAAAAGTGTTCCTATTTCTCCACATCCTCTCCAGCATCTGTTGTTTCCCGATTTTTTAATGATCGCCATTCTAACTGGTGTGAGATGGTATCTCAATGTGGTTTTGATTTGCATTTCTCTGATGACCAGTGATGATGAGCATTTTTTCATATGTTTGTTGGCCTCCTGTATGTCTTCTTTTGTAAAGTATCTGTTCATATCCTTTGCCCATTTTTGAATGGGCTTGTTTGTTTTTTTCTTGTAGATCTGCTTTAGTTCTTTGTAAATTCTGGATATCAGCCCCTTGTCAGATGGGTAGACTGCAAAAATTTTTTCCCATTCTGTTGGTTGCCGATTCACTCTACTGACTGTTTCTTTTGCCGTGCAGAAGCTGTGGAGTTTGATTAGGTCCCATTTGTCTATTTTGGCTTTTGTTGCCATTGCTTTTGGCGTTTTGGTCATGAAGTCCTTGCCTACACCTATGTCCTGAATGGTTTTGCCTAGATTTTCTTCTAAGGTTTTTATGGTATTAGGTCTGATGTTTAAGTCTTTAATCCATCTGGAGTTAATTTTGGTGTAAGGTGTCAGGAAGGGGTCCTGTTTCTGCTTTCTGCACATGGCTAGCCAGTTTTCCCAACACCATTTATTAAACAGGGAGTCCTTTCCCCATTGCTTGTTTTTGTCAGGTTTGTCGAAGATCAGATGGTTGTGGGTATGTTGTATTTCCTGTGAGGCCTCTGTTCTGTTCCATTGGTCTATATCTCTGTTTTGGTACCAGTACCATGCTGTTTTGATTACTGTAGCCTTGTAGTATAGTTTGAAGTCCAGTAGTGTGATGCCTCCCGCTTTGTTCTTTTTGCTTAGAATTGACTTGGCTATGCGGGCTCTCTTTTGGTTCCATATGAAGTTTAAGGTGTTTTTTTCCAGTTCTGTGAAGAAGGTCATTGGTAGCTTGATGGGAATAGCATTGAATCTGTAAATTACTTTGGGCAGTATGGCCATTTTCACGATGTTGATTCTTCCTAACCATGAACATGGAATGTTTCTCCATCTGTTTGTATCCTCTCTTATTTCGTTGAGCAATGGCTTGTAGTTCTCCTTGAAGAGGTCCTTTACGTTCCTTGTTAGTTGTATTCCTAGGTACTTTATTCTCTTTGTAGCAATTGTGAATGGCAGTTCGTTCTTGATTTGGCTCTCTTGAAGTCTATTACTGGTGTATAGGAATGCTTGTGATTTTTGCACGTTGATTTTGTATCCTGAGACTTTGCTGAAGTTGTTTATCAGTTTCAGGAGATTTTGGGCTGAGATGATGGGGTCTTCCAGATATACAATCATGTCATCTGCAAATAGAGACAATTTGATTTCCTCCTTTCCAATTTGGATACCCTTTATTTCTTTTTCTTGCCTGATTGCTCTGGCTAGAACTTCCAGTACTATATTGAATAGGAGTGGTGAGAGAGGGCATCCTTGTCTAGTGCCAGATTTCAAAGGGAATGCTTCCAGTTTTTGCCCATTCAGTATGATATTGGCTGTTGGTTTGTCGTAAATAGCTTTTATTGTTTTGAGATACGTTCCATCAATACCTAGTTTATTGAGGGTTTTTAGCATAAAGGGTTGTTGAATTTTGTCAAAAGCCTTCTCTGCATCAATCGAGATAATCATGTGGTTTTTGTCTTTGGTTCTGTTTATGTGGTGAATTACGTTTATGGACTTGCGTATGTTGAACCAGCCTTGCATCCCCGGGATGAATCCTACTTGATCATGGTGGATGAGCTTTTTGATATGCTGTTGCAATCGGTTTGCCAGTATTTTATTGAAGATTTTTGCATCTATGTTCATCATGGATATTGGCCTGAAATTTTCTTTTCTTGTTGAGTCTCTGCCGGGTTTTGGTATCAGGATGATGTTTGTCTCGTAAAATGATTTGGGAAGGATTCCCTCTTTTTGGATTGTCTGGAATAGTTTCAGAAGGAATGGTATCAGCTCCTCCTTGTATGTCTGGTAGAATTCAGCTGTGAACCCATCTGGACCTGGGCTTTTTTTGGGTGGTAGGCTCTTTATTGCTGCCTCGACTTCAGACCATGTTATTGGTCTATTCAGGGTTTCGGCTTCTTCCAGGTTTAGGCTTGGGAGGTTGCAGGTGTCCAGGAATTTATCCATTTCTTCCAGGTTTACTAGTTTATGTGCATAGAGTTGTTTGTAATAATCTCTGATGATGGTTTGGATTTCTGTGGAATCTGTGGTGATATCCCCTTTATCGTTTTTTATTGCATCAATTTGGTTATTCTCTCTTTTCTTTTTTATTAATCTGGCTAGTGGTCTGTCTATTTTGTTGATCTTTTCAAAAAACCAGCTCCTGGATTTACTGATTTTTTGAAGAGTTTTTTGTGTCTCTATTCCCTTCAGTTCTGCTCTGATCTTAGTTATTTCCTGTCTTCTGCTAGGTTTTGAGTTTTTTTGATCTTGCTCCTCTAGCTCTTTCAATTTTGATGATAGGGTGTCAATTTTAGATCTCGCCTTTCTTCTCATGTGGGCACTCATTGCTATATATTTTCCTCTAGAGACTGCTTTAAATGTGTCCCAGAGATTCTGGTATGTTGTGTCTTCGTTCTCATTGGTTTCGAAGAACATCTTTATTTCTGCCTTCATTTCATTGTTTATCCAGTCAACATTCAAGAGCAAGTTGTTCAGTTTCCATGAAGCTGTGCGGTTCTGAGTTAGTTTCTGCATTCTGAGTTCTAACTCGATTGCACTGTGGTCTGAGAGACTGTTTGTTATGATTTCTGTTCTTTTGCATTTGCTGAGGAGTGATTTATTGCCAATTATGTGGTCAATTTTAGAGTAGGTGTGATGTGGTGCTGAGAAGAATGTATATTCTGTGGATTTGGGGTGGAGAGTTCTGTAAATGTCTATTAGGTTTGCTTGTTCCAGGTCTGTGTTCAGGTCCTGGATATCCTTGTTGATTTTCTGTCTGGTTGATCTGTCAAATATTGACAATGGGGTGTTAAAGTCTCCCACTATTATTGTGTGGGAGTCTAAGTCTCTTTGTAAGTCATTAAGAACTTGCCTTATGTATCTGGGTGCTCCTGTATTGGGTGCATATATATTTAGGATCGTTAGCTCTTCTTGTTGCAGTGATCCTTTTACCATTATGTAATGTCCTTCTTTGTCTCTTTTGATCTTTGTTGCTTTAAAGTCTATTTTATCAGAGATGAGAATTGCAACTCCTGCCTTTTTTTGCTCTCCATTTGCTTGGTAGATCTTCCTCCATCCCTTTATTTTGAGCCTTTGTGTATCCTTGCATGTAAGATGGGTTTCCTGGATACAGCACACTGATGGGTTTTGGCTTTTTATCCAATTTGCCAGTCTGTGTCTTTTGATTGGGGCATTTAGTCCATTGACATTTAGGGATAGTATTGTTATGTGTGAATTTGATGCTGTCATTTTGATGCTACCTGGCTGTTTTGTTGGTTAGTTGATGCAGATTCTTGATTGTGTTGCTGCTTTTTTACCATTTGGTGTGTTTTTGGAGTGGCTGGTACTGGTTGTTCCTTTATATGTGTAGAGCCTCTTTCAGGAGTTCTTGTAGAGCAGGTTTTGTGGTGATGAAATCTCTGAGTGCTTGCTTGTTCACAAAGGATTTTATTTTTCCTTCACTTATGAAGCTGAGTTTGGCTGGATAGGAGATTCTGGGTTGAAAGTTCTTTTCTTTGAGGATGTTGAATATTGGCCCCCAATCTCTTCTGGCTTGTAGGGTTTCTGCTGAGAGATCTGCTGTGAGTCTAATGGGCTTCCCTTTGTGGGTAACCCGACCTTTCTCTCTGGCTGCCCTTAGCATTTTCTCTTTCATTTCAACCCTGGTGAATCTGACGATTATGTGCCTTGGGGTTGCTCTTCTTGAGGAATATCTCTGTGGTGTTCTCTGTATTTCCTGGATTTGAATATTGGTCTGCCTTGCTAGGTTGGGGAAGTTTTCCTGGATAATATCCTGAAGAGTATTTTCCAGCTTGGATTCATTCTCTTCATCACATTCAGGTACACCTATCAGACGTAGATTAGGTCTTTTCACATAGTCCCACATTTCTTGAAGATTTTGTTCATTCCTTTTTGCGCTTTTTTCTCTGTTCTTGCCTTCTCTTTTTATTTCATTGAGTTGGTCTTCGACCTCTGATATCCTTTCTTCTGCTTGGTCAATTCGGCTGTTGAAG